CCGCCACTAACAATCCTATTTGGCAGTCGCGAAGAAGCGCGATTAAGTCTTATTTCAGATTGTTACTACTCGAGTCGAGATTTTACTCTAGAACATCCGTGTATTTTGAAGCATCGAAAGAGCCTATACATGTATTCCTACACGGAAAAAAGAGATGTGGTGCACCTAACAAAAAATATTTAGTTGTAAGCAAATAGCTGCATCATTCTACATATCTTTGTATGATAGTTATGTGTATGGTTGATTTGATTTACTTACTTTGGTGTGTCAACTACATCAATGAAGTTGCGCGTGATCTGGTTGTGGCCACCAGAAATTAGTAAGGAGATCATTTTGCGTACACAAGCTAAATATCGAAATAGTTGCATTAATCAATACTATATTGCAAAGCAGCGATGTTAGAAAACAAAAACAATTCGCTACGCGCACAACTAGAGGTGTATACATGTGAAAACTGATTCTGAGTGTATAAATATACATTTGTAGTTGCCGCGTAATGAGCCGCGTTTGTATTAACCATGTATTATCACTGCTGCAACATAAATAACTCAGCCATTGCTCTTTGGTTACCACATAAAATAGTTGTTCGATATTTTACTACAGAAATCTGAAAATATATACACGGAAAAAACAATATGGTTGATCCATACAGAAATCTGATTGGCACAACCAGATTTCTGTATGAATCAACCATATTGCTTTTTCCGTGTATATATTTTCTGTTTGAATAATTTTGATACTCGATATTTTCTCACCGGTGCACACGACATAGAGACGCGAGACTAATGAAATTCAAGAGTCCGGCGGTGTGTCCCGGTCAATTCGGCGTGCGTAATCGGATTCGTTGCATTTTTCATCAGATTCCGTGCGAATCGAGCCGGCGGATTATTCTTTCGCGCGCGTCCACGCTGGCGATAGTTTTCGAACATTGCAGCCCGACACTGCATCTTTTATGAGACTCTCGATACACGATAAAAAAATAAAAATACAAAACCCTCCGCCGCCTCTCCCTCTCTTTCTTTTTCCTCTCTTTCTCCCTCCCTTATTTCATCTTGCGCGGTCGTGAGCGGTACATTGTTACATGAAAAAACGAAAACTGGAGCGGGACGCGCAAATGGAATATTCGTGTTGTTAAAGCCGGCGAGGGTCGTCGGAGGTTTTCATGGAGCGCGCGCGACCGCGCCGAATCGATTCCCCGTTCTTTTCAGCGTTTCCGAAATCAGCCGTCTCTCGTTATCGGTCGTTTCGAGCGGTTTATATTCGCGTGGTTACGCGCGAATCGCGGGCGAAAGCACGCGACGAGCTCTTTCATCCGGTATCAGCCTCCCTCTCGTCTCCTCTTCCGCTCTTTTTCTTCTCACCCATTTTACCGTATCGCGCCACCATCCATGCTGGCGATCGTCTCGGCTCATTACGATCTGTCGATCTGTTATCCCTCCGGGAAGTCGCGACTCTCACCCCTCAGGCAGATTATCCTTCGCGATGATTCGCCAGGCGAACAACGCTTTTCAGCTGCACGTCGCTGTGTAAGGGAGAATTTACACTATAGCTCAGAATTTATAATAGAAACTAATCAGAGCTCGCACGCTGGTAGAAAAGCGAAAACTGTTGACTACCACCTGACTACCAGCGCGAGTTTTGATTGACTTCTGCCTTAATTCTACTTTTCTGCCAAGGTGTGAATTCTCCCGGACACTTTGCGTCCCCCTGTCGCATACTCGCGCGCTGATTAGAATTTATGACGTGTGCTTAATCAGCCGCTAAATTTAACCGCGCGGATCGCGCACGAAATAGTTTTCGCGCGCTGCTGAGGTGGCTCGTGCTGTTTTTTTCTCTCTTTCCTTCTTTTTTCTTTTTATTCGTGCGCCCGATCTCGTAAATCGCTGGTCGTTCAACGTTGTCCGTTCTCTACGCGCTCTGTCTGTCGGAACTATCGGTGTTATCGTCCGCCACTGGATGGGATACCGTCGGTAATTGGCGGGTTGAAATATTTACTCTGCGAAATTAATCATACCCGCGGCGAGTTGATCGACGTTTTTATTCCGAGCTGACCGGAAAATCGTAATTTCACGTCCGATCACGAGCTGATCGCGTAACCGGTGCGGGGATGGGGATAACAGACGAGATAAAACGCACGCTATTCTTTAGGTGTTGGACGCGCGTTACGGGAACGATCGTTACCGTACGCCATTAATCCCTAAATCTGCTTTACTGCAGGTTGAAAGCGCCGATCGCTTAAATACACCGCGATGATCGGGCCACGGCTCCAGCCATAAAGCGCAATTTTATCCGCTTTTATCTGCGCCTCCGCGCGCGCGCGCGAGGGGGGAGAGAGAGAGAGAGAGAGCGCGCGCGGCAACTCTCTCAAAGCCTATTTCGAGAGCGCGGCTGCTCTCGAGGGTTTGTTTGAATCCGCCTCTGCCGGTCTGCTTCTCGTCAATTCTAGAAGGAATTCCCGCATCCGAGACTGCGAGAATGCAATCTTCGTCACGGGGGCTTTTCATTTCCCCGGGACCGATCCTGACGCTTCTGCGGATCCGTGACTGTTTGTTTCCATTCCCGGCGCGGAAATCAGAATTTATTGTGGCGGTCCAGATTTTTCGCGAAACGACTCGGTAGAGCGGGTAAAAACGGAGAGCGAGGGAGGGAGAGAGAGAGAGAGAGAGAGAGAGAGAGAAAGGGAGAGAGGAGCTGAACAGAATTTGAAGAGAGCCAGATAGCGTTTACGATGTTCTGCGAAGACTCACTCGATCCTACGAGTTCTTGATCACTGTTAATTATAAGCGAGCTGATTTCATTGACTATCTCTGTCTCTCCCTCTCTCACTTTAAAAGAGCAACGAACAAAATGAAAATATGTACGAAGACTGGAGCACGTTGGCATATAGGGATAGATTCACTTCGTATCTATCGTAAAAGGAACGATGGAAACGGAATCTCAAAATGCTCCTTTCATAACGTATGTACTTTTCCTTGAGTTTCATCAAAGTCAGAAAAATATTGCGATTTCATAGTGACCTATATTTTCCACAAGGTCCTCGAGAATAACTATGCAAAATTTGGTCCAGATCAAAAGAGGTTTAGGAGTTTATATAGCGAACGTACAGACAGACGTTCTATTTTATACATGAATACATACATACATTGGATATATATTCTACATTGAAAGTTTAAATAATTGTATTTCACACAGAACCAAATCAATAAGAATGTCCCGAGTTAAATACCAGTGTTATTGGTGTGCAGAGACATTGGTGTCTTTGCGTAACGCGTTCCAAGTATCGTTATCTCCTCGACCGTCGCTCGATTAAAACACGTGGGCTGCAGTTGATGGCGCAAAAACTTAATTGGCGACCGAATTATATGTTCATTGTGAGATCTCTACTGCGCGCGGTCGAGAGGAGAGACGCTTCCAGTGTTCCTCCACCATGTTTTACTTGTACGAGTTAAGGATACGTTTGCACGGCCAATCGCGTCGCGCGTCTCGTCGTCTGTTAACGACGGCAATTATACACGATCGTACCGTATCGACCAGCTCGACACGATAAGAGGAGGCAAGGGAAGTCTCGCCCCGATCTCTGTATGCACATAATTCGTCGTGTTGCAGGTCGCAACGAGCTAATCGCCCGCTATATCAAATTGAGGACCGGTAAGACGAGAACGCGAAAGCAGGTGTCCTCGCACATACAGGTCCTCGCGAGAAGAAAACTCCGGGAAATACAGGCGAAACTCAAAGTGGTGAGTAAGACCCGTAATACACGGACTCACCCGTGTGTCTCTGCCGATCTCTGCGTTCTCATTATCTTTTTTTTACAGCTGTCTAATATTCCTCTTTCTTTTCCTCTTCTTTTTTTCTATACGTACACATATATGCATATATATATATATATATATATATATATATATATATATATATGTATATGTATATATATTGTTTTCCTCACGCTTTTTTCAACGCCACATTCGAATCCACTTAACGACGTCTCGCGCAAACGTCTGGATCACAGTCTTGGTCCCTTTTGCGAAGGGACAACGGGGAGAGGGGAAGGGGAGAGATCTGGTCCTTTTTCGAAGACTCACCGCGGATTTCGCATCGCACATCGCGCCGCGATCACGATGATATGTTGTGACTATCGTGATAACGAGAGCCGCGCGATAGCGGCGGCGGCGGTTTAACGCGACGCGTTGTTATGATAATGAAATACGAGACAAACACGGCCGATCATTTATTTAAACGGCGCTACGATATATTTGACGACACGTCGCGCCCTGTCCCGTCCCGTCCCGATAGCGGCGCGTAGATAAATATGAGCTATTGCGCGGGTGCAATAACGCCGTGCGCTCTCTGCCCAACGTCGGATCGATATTTCGAGTCTCGCCAAGACCGGCGGCTGTAGATCCGCTCTTGCTTTGTTCCCTTCCGCAAAGCGCGGCCCCGATTTACCGGAAGGATATGCGCGGCAACACTTTTTTCCACGAAAGTGTTGTTTGCGCGAGAAGCAAAAACATCTGCTCCTTTTATGTATTTTTTTTTTTCACCTACAACGAGATATCCAATTCTCTTGAAAAGGGAAGGGAGAGAGAGAGCTCAGCCACGCACGAGAGAGAATCGCGAGAAAAAGTTCGCGCGCACAAATGATTTCTATTCCCCTGTCGGTTTGCGCGACAATAATTTGGAAGGGTGCAGGAGGAAACGGCATGTGAAACGCGGTGTGCGTTAGAATAATCCAGGTCCCGTTGTAATTCGCATTTCGCAGCACCCCTCTCCTCGCTCCCTCTCTCTCTCTCTCTCTCTCTCTCTCTCTCTCTCTCTCGTTCGCTCTGGCGTTCACCCCCGTGCTCGGCGGACGGTAATATTAAATCGCGATCGGCGCGCGCGAGCATTAGCGAGCGACGACCGTTGCGGAATCATTTTCGACGAGAGGGAGAGACACGTGCGATCTCGTATCGAGGAGCATTGCCGCGGGATAAATCACGCGTAAAAATGAACCCGGGCCCGTTTAATCAACAGCTGAATTATTAAAGCGATTCGCGAACAATTGCGCGCCGGTTAATAAATCAAAGCGCGGCGCGGCGCAATCGGTGGTGGTGGTGCCTCCATTTCGCCGTTGGCCGGCAATACAGCGGGGTAGACAGAAGGCACGATCGAAAGAGAGATGGGACGAGGAGGGAGAGCGAGAGAGAGAGAGAGAGAGAGAGAGAGAGAGAGAGAGAGAGAGAAGGGGGGAGAGAAATGGGCAGGGAGTATTGTTTATACAGGATCGGTCAATATTCGGTATAGAAAAGAGTGGAAAAACAAGCCGCGCGTGTAAATTAACCGTGCGATTGCATGCACTCCGGTTTGAAGCTCTCGTTCGGTGGGAAAAAAAAGAGCTCCCCGGTTTAATCGACGGCGATAAACCGAAATTTTTTTCCGGATATTCCGCGCAATTTAGGCGCGACTGCGCGCGGCTGAGCGAGCGAGCGTGCGCGCAAGAGAGAGGAGCCGCCGGATCGTTAAATACAATTTATCGATGGTGCGTTTATCTGGCGAGTGTGTGCCGTGATCGTTAGATGTAATTTGTTAATTATCGCGTCGAGCGTGTTTTCGCGTTTCGTCGCGTTCTCGCGACGTCGAAACTATCACTGTCACTACTACTAATGCGCTGCCGACACGGCATATGAACGTGTATTAACGCCGTGGCTTGGGGGAAGAAGTGAGAATGAGAATGAAGTATATAACGAATAAAATTGTATTTGTTACGTATTTAATTCTCATTCACCCTCGCCCGAGAGCCTGCCCCGGCAAAACGGAGCTCTGAGAAACGGCGCCGGCGTTCCTCCAGCGATTTTAATTACGGCCGCGACGTTCGCGTAATAAGATGTCGTCGCTCGCTGTGTGCGCGCAGGGCCCCGCGCCGATGCCATTTATGAAATACTTGCGCGGCTTTCCGTTTTTAAGCACGGTCAGCCGCAGCTGCGACTGCAACTGCAGTGGCCGCATACCGTGAACATTATTCAGGAGAGCGGCCGACGCGCCCACGGACATGGGGAGGAGAGGAGAGTAGAGGAGATAGGTGAATGTGGTGGTAGTAGAGGAGGAGGAGGAGGAGGAGGAGGAGGAG